CCTGGTGTCACAAGGGGATGCGCGGAGCCATGGACCGAGCAGGTAGCGGGGCGCGGAGGGGCTGGGGGGGGGGGGGGCCCGGGGGGCCCGTGGGGCCCGCTGAGCCCCGCCTTTGCCTTGCAGCCCTGATCGAAGCCTTCAAGGCGCAGACAAGGGATGACCCGGACCTGGCCTCGGCCGTGGCCGCCATCCGCGCCCTGCTCGAGTTCCTCAAGAGAGACACAGGAGGCTGCCCCCCCCCCACCCCGGGGGCGTGGCCGCGCCGGTGCTAGCTGCTCTCGAGCAGGAGAAACATGTGCAGTTGTGCAGGCGCCGCGCTCCGCCAACTCCGAGATCGGTCTGCGGGTGGGGGGAGCTGCGATGTCCCCGAGGGGGGCCGTGCGCGCGGGGCAGAGCAGTCGGGGTGCCAGCCAGTGCCCTCACCGCGACGCCCAAACCGCACCTCTCTCCCTCTCTCAGAGGAGACCATGCAGGGCTTCCGCGCAAACCTCAAAAACGCCATCGAAATACTCTCGGGCGTCGACTCCTCAGTGGCCGTCTCCTCCGGGGGAGAGCTATTTCTCCGGTTCATCAGCCTCACTTCGCTGGAGTACACGGTAAGAGCCCGCGGCCGCTGGCGCGGCAGAAGGGATTCCCGACCCTCAGTCGCCATGCTTGCTGCTTTTTGCAGGACTACTCCAAGTGCAAAGAGATCATGATCGAGCGAGGGGAGATCTTCCTCAGGAGAATCTCTCTTTCCAGAAACAAAATCGCGAAGCTCTGCCACCCGTTCATCAAAGACGGTGCTGTAAGTGCAACGCGGGCGCTGCGCCGGTTCTGGGGCTCTGCTGTTTGGGCAGGAGGCAGAAGGGGAGGGTGACCAAATCTTACTACGTTGTGTTCAGGGTGATCGCGTGATTTGATGTGGGCTCTCTCAAGTAAGGAGAAATAAAGTTTCCTGATCATCGTATTTTTGTTTGTATCATAAGTTCAGATCTTCCTGTGTTTCCTAAGATTCCCTTTCTCTGTCCTCTCCCTCCACCTTTGTTTCTGCACAAACTGAGGTTGAACTTCTGGCCTGATGCTGACAATCAGATCGTCTTGTTCAAGCACTGGAAGCGGTGACTTCTCAGTCCCTCTCAGTGCCAGGGTTTCTTGGGTGGTTGCTTGCAATAAGATATCAGTTTAAAAAAAAACAAAAAACGGTCAAGGTTTATGCAATGACTTGACATGCCGTGCGCTGTAAAACACTTCTGGGAAACCTACCATTAAGCTCTATTTCTAACTCTTAAAATGCTCACTTTTTATAAAAAATCTTAGTAGGCACCTGAAGTAGAGGTTTCCCTCGCCAACCGCTGGGGTTAGGTTCCTGAAAGCTCCCACGGTTGGCAAGACAAAAGGCTTATGGGAAAAATGGCAGGTGGCAGGCTGATGCACAGCCACGGAAAACCATGGTGACTTAAAACTGTATACCGTGGTAGCCAAAATGGTGTATAGAATATTAAGCATGGATACTTAAAACCGTGGTTGGCAAGGGAAACCTGTAACTGAAAACAATGCTTTAAAATACCTGTGCATAGTAAAGTAGCACAAGAAATCCTAACAGCCAGGCTTTCCTGAAACTCCATCTCTCCTTTTGACAGCGAATATTAACCCATGCCTATTCAAGAGTGGTCCTCAGAGTGCTAGAAGCAGCTGCAGAGTCAAAGAAGCGTTTCAGAGTTTACGTTACAGAATCACAGCCAGATCAAGCAGGGCAAGTACTTGTCACTACTCTCTTCTTGATTAGTAAAAGAAGTTAGTTTTAAGGTCAGTTCTCATTTTATCAGGAAGAAGCTTTTCCCCTTTTTTTTTAAATGCTGCTAAAAGGCAACAACTGCTCTGACAAAACATTATGTCCTCCTTGAGAGGAAATGTATAAACACACTTCAGTAAGAACTGCAAGAAGCAATTCCAACATCACTAATGTTTGCAGAAAATTTACCAGAACTTAAAAATTAACCATTGCTATGCAAACAGATTTCTGGCTTGGGTGGTTGCTTGCAGTGGTGCAGTCAATTTAAGATGTCAGTTAAAAAAAACCCAGAAAAACCTGAAGCAGTGATTCTTGTAACCATCGGCAGCATAAAGTATTCAGCTGCATGTGGTACCCCACCAGACCAGCCCTGAGTGCTGGCTCCAGGGCTAGTTGGGGTCAGGTCCCAGGCCATTTGTGCATCCTTCAGCGAGCGTGGAGGACTGTCCAGTGGAGTAATGCATATGGTGCATACTCTGTGCCAGCCTCCTCTGCAACAGGTAGTGCTTACAGCACTGGGTTCAGCCTGCACACCACAAGCAGCACGAGCCCCGGAGCAGGGCTGGCACATGGTGCACAGGCTATACCTGGTCCATAGGCATACCACATGGCACAGAGGGCCAGCCTGTAGCACATGCAGCAGCCCTGCATACTGACTCCAGCGCTGCCCCATCTGGACTGGTCCCAGAGCCAGTGCATGGGGTTGGTCTGATGCAGGTGCTGCATACAGCTTATGCCCCAGAGTGACCCCTGTGTAAATCCCATGACATCAGGTCCAGCTCCTACGCCAGACCAATGCCGCCTGCTGTAGGCTGTATGTTTGACACCCCTGACTTAAATTGTGTGCAACTTATGTGTGATGCCTACAACTGTTTAAGCTGAATGATTAGTGAGGAATCTTGCGCCTTACTCTGTATATGGTCCGTTTATTATCTCCCTTACAGTCAACTAATTCCCTTTTTGGTTCTCACCTATTGTGTATTATCACACAACTTACTTCTTTAAAGCAGAATGATTGCATGTACAGAGGAAGGAGGATGTGGGAAGGTAGGGACCCACAGTTAGATTTCAGTCTTTCATATAGTCCTTCAACTATATTAATTGTATTTCACCAGCACTGTCTTCCAAGAAAGTCTTTTCAACTTCGTAAACATTATTTTCATAGGCAAAAAATGGCAAAGGCTCTCAGCAAGTTGAACGTTCCTGTTACCGTGATTCTGGATGCTGCTGTAGGGTAAGCTTATTACCTTCATAGATATTTGGAAATCTCTTGTTCTTCTAGATCTCATTTTAGGAACAACGCCTGTGAACTTTCCAAACATTTGTCCGGACTAGAAGGAACGGTTTTTCTCTGTTAGCTTGTCTAGTAATACCAAGGGGCCTGGCCACTGTACAAGTTAACCTTTTATGGCAGTATTCTTACTGTGTATCAACAGTAGCCAGCAAATTTGATGGGTTGTTTGTTGTAGCCCCCCAAACCATCCTGCTTTCCTTGAACAGGTGCAGCCACTACATTCTTTTAACCTAATCACTGCCTACCACAAACCAGAGTTGGATCCCAAATGTCCAAAGATGGAGCAGTATCAAATTTGATTCTCATTCCAATGCAGTTTACCTCAGGAGCAACTTACCTAGAAAATGCAAAACACTCAGATTTGCCAATATTTTCCCTCAAATATATACAGTTTATCAGCTGATTTAAGAACTTGGGTAAAAAAAAAACCCAGCTCTCAAGAGCTGCTGAGGACAGTGGTGTTTGGAGAAACAGTTGCTATTCAGTATTCCTGAGGGGGTCAGTAAGGAAGCATCATTCCACAATGTACATGTTCAGAAGAAAGACTGGCTAGAGGGGAAAACCTAAGTTATCACTTGAAGTATTAAGCAGCATTGGGGTTCTTAAAAGTCACGCTTTTAGTACTGCACAACATAATTTTTTTTTCTTCATCAGTTACATTATGGAAAAAGTGGACCTGGTAATAGTTGGTGCTGAAGGCGTAGTTGAAAATGGAGGAATCATTAATAAGGTAACCAGCAGTATTTTTATTTTTATTTACTTTTTGTACACATGCAGCTATTGACCCAATTTTTGCATATATTTATCCTCCCTACTCTGGTTAAGTGAGCTCTTAGGCGGGGGATCTTCTCCAGGTGACTATCCCCTCTGCCACACTAGCAGTTAAAACTGCTACAAATTGCTGCATTTCATATTCCGTTACAATTTGATAAAGTCTTTGTGATTAACTATACTATAGGTTTAAGCTTAAACTTTTTGTTTCATTATCATTTTTCTCAATTTTAATGCTGTCGGCATCAGTAAGTCATATAGCTAAGGCAACGGATTCAATTTGGTTACTATACTTTTATTTAAAAATCCACCTTTTTCCAACTTTCATAGTAACAGTATACAAATAAAGCACATTTGACCTGGCTGCTAGAAAAATAGGCTCTTTCTTGCCTTGTACAAGGTGAAACAGACACTCGTTAAATATAAAACCTTGCTGACCTGAAATACACGGTAGCTGGTCATATTCTTAACTTCCCAGAATAGAGATTGGGAGTGAAGCCTCCTAGATGTATTCCCTGTTGTGCTACTAGCTTCTGCTGTGGCCTTGAAGTCATTTCACCTCCAAGCCTCAATCACCTAATCTGTAAAAGGAGGATACTTTTACATATCTATCTATCTCACAGAGATATTGCAAGTCTTAATGGCACACAGATAAAAATAATCTTTGGGAGGTCCCATTGCTTAAGCTCGATTTCTGTTTAAAAAAAAAAAAAAAAAGTTCTAGGCTTTTCCAGAGTGCTTTCAGTTCAAACATTAAATCTAACCTTGGCAATTCATTGTCCTGATAGCACTGCATTTATACATTCTTCTAACTGAACTGTCTCCCCAGATTGGTACAAATCAAATGGCTGTGTGCACCAAGGCTCAGAATAAGCCCTTTTATGTCGTTGCTGAAAGTTTCAAGTTCGTAAGACTCTTCCCTCTAAATCAACAGGATGTCCCAGACAAATTTAAGGTAAAGAGAAATTCAGAATACTTTGTAAGCAAGCTGTGCATAAGCTGGCCTCTGAGGAATTAATATATTGAATGTAAGAGCTCAAATGTTACTTCATGGGTAGAGCTCTTTCTTTTACCAATTTAAAGCAAGAATTGTAGCGCTGTCATCTCATCTCATAGTTTAAACTTTCTCTTCCAGTTTGAATTTCCTCATCAGTCCCTTTAGTATTGTATAGCATTAAAAAGCCTCATACCCAGTGGGCTTGTCTACATGAGATGCCTTAACGCACAACCGACTGTTCTACTGTGCATTAGCACATCATGGCAAAAACCTTGCAAGTGCACAGTAGAATTAGTCTAGTCTACTGCACATTGTCACAAAAAAACTGTTCGCCTTTACTACTGCACCTTAGCATGGGCCACTGCACCTTTATGTAGTATAGCATTTCCCAACCTTTTTTGCCCCGTGGCGCACTTACCTAAATAAAAAAAAAAGACGGGGGTTTGGAGGGGGTGCAGCCAGCCAGATGGTATTTTGGGCTGGAGCCACGCTCCCCATGTGGCTGTGTCCTCAGCAGCAGCAGGCATGCGGCATGGCTCCAGCCCCAAATGCTGCAGCCCACCAGGTGGGAAACGCTGATACAGTACCTTGTATTAGAGGTATTAAACTTAATGCACAGCAGCAAAGACGCATTAATGAACTTGTAGATGCACCCAGTTGCACTAAATTAAGCTGCCAAAAGCAGCAATAGTTCCCCTACTTGCTATCAGCATCTGGTTCCCAAAACAGCTTATCCAGTTTTGGGAGGGGGGAAAACAGATGGCAGCAGAACTAATAGATCAAGATACCTTCCAGACCTATAATCCATTTTTTTTTTTTTCCCCCCCCCTGAAGCTGCAAGAGTGGTTGTGGCAAGCAGCAGTAACTTAAGCTTTGAGTAGAGCTAGTGGCAGCGGACTGTATTTAGCTGTAATTAAGTTCCACATCTTTTTAAGGCGGCTATTGCTCAGACTTCAAGAAGTTACAGCTTCTCTTGCTCTGACAGCTAACAGTCTTCTCTTCCCCACAGTACAAAGCAGACACCTTGAAAACAAGCCAAAATCTAGCTGAGGAGCACCCATGGATTGACTACACTTCGCCATCACTAATTACATTACTGTTTACAGACCTGGGAGTGTTAACTCCATCAGCTGTCAGTGATGAACTTATTAAACTTTATCTGTAATGAAGAGGATTCACTGTACAGAACCTGGGACTTTGGCTCCTCGGAACTATAGCATCTATGAAGCTGCAGATGTAAAGGAACGCTCATCAATCTGTGGCACTTGTGGCTTCTGAATAAAAGGTTATCTGTAGCCACAAATGGTAGGAGCAGCCTGTGTATATAGCACACGGTACACTGGGATGGGAAGAGGGATCACAGTGGTATTCCAGGAAGTCACAAGGCTTAATTTGTTTCACATCTCTAAAAAGGTTGGCCCCCTACTGCTATATACACAGATGTGATATAAAAGGGAGACTGCACAGGGTTTGATTTCATTACCAGTCATAATGTTTTAAATTTACTCGCTACATATAAATGGTCCAGTGCTCAAAATAAAATGTAAGCTACTAGGGGCTCTGAAGTTCTAAAATAAATTCTCCTAAAGCAGGGTGCAGTACTTTAATCTTATAGAAAAATAAACTTAAATTATCTCTTCCTAAATATGCATCAAAACTCTCAGATTTTTTTTGTGTGAACATAGTACGCACCTGACAAAAATCTGCAAGTCACTTAGCCAAATTCCATGGTTCACTCTGGATATTATGCTACAAGAGAGGTTCAGTTCTTGGGCCCTGAGGAAAAGTCATGCCAATCCTGTTAGAAGCACCTAGTATTCACAGAAACCAAGTCTGTTTCGTAGGATTTGAACAATGCAGAGCATAGAAGGAAATGATCTTGGTATAAAATTTGTTTTATTGAAAGAAGTGGCATCTCCATGGGGCGAACAGTCAGACCAGGACTGTCAGTCTTCAGACTCTGAGTCAGTTACTACTTCCATTTCGACTTTTCTCTCACTGCCCGTCAGCCTCTTCTCAAACTCCTCCTCACTAATTTTACCCTTTTTTAATCTTTTCAAGAGTCTTGTATCATTCAGCAGCTCCTCCAGGTCTTCATCTTCAAGGTCAGAACCCTGTAGCCAATTGAAACAGAATAACTTATTCCAGCACTACACTGCTCCAGTCCTATTTGGACACCTCAGAAATGACCATATTAACCTTATAGTGTCAGTTCTTCACTGTGGGTTCTGCTGGTATCATTAGCATCTAACAGTGTTGTGCTATTGACGCCCATGGATGATACTCAATTATTACTGCTGTGGGATTCACATAAAGCCTGGCAGCAGCATGAATTAAAGGAGCATTAGCACCATGCATAGTGAATTCTCCCACTAGTTACTAGCAATTAAAGCATTAGGTCATAAATCATTCCTTTTTCCAGAAGCCCCAAATAACATTTGATGCGAGATGAAACTTAGCACATAAGCCAGGGGCAGGCAATTATTTTGGGCAGAGGGCCACTTACTGAGTTTCGGAAAGCTATCGAGGGCTGCATGACAGGCAGTCCAGGACAGATTAATATTAATTTTCTACATTTTTTAGGGGCCCCACGGGCTGGATAGAATGCCTGGCAGGCCACATCCCTCCCCCAGGCCACATTTTGCCCACCCGTGACATAAGCACTCTGCCCTGCTGCAAGAAGTATTCCTGTCCTGCTCCAATCTGTTTCCTGCATGCCCATTTTGAGTGCAGCTACCAGTGCCTCTTGACTTTCTTTTACTGGAGGCTTACAACCAGAGTTCTGACCAGCAAGGAACAACCCAATCCCTCTCTTTACTGATGGACCTATTGTTAGGACTTGCTCCTTGGGGACAGCAAGAGACTCCAGTACTGTAGCTCCCCTAATTTCAGGTTGCTGGCACCTCCAAGAAGTGAGATTGAGAGAATCCAGCCAACAGCACTGCTCACTAGCAAGGGAGGACTGGATGGAATTTGCTTTTGAACTCGCTGAGCTCTGCTTATGCAAATCACTATGCTTTGGACCGACGAGGATCCTATTCAGGGTCCCCCGCTCCTGACAAGTTAAAGCCCTTATAAGCATTTTGCAAGCGTTACATCCAAACCTGGCAGAAGCTCTATTGCAGTAGGTACACATGAGCTTATCAGAAGTCAAAATGTACCTCTTCTCTTTTCCTTTTAGCTGTCATTTTCCTTTTCTTCTCCTTCTTGGCTTTCTGCTTTGACCAGGCTTTATTTCGTATGAATTTCTTTTTCCCTTCATTTTCTTGTTTTTCCTTTCTTTGTTGTTCTAACAGTTTCTGCCTCTGCTTTTCTCTGTTTTTGTCTTTGAATGTGATGGTGTCCGTGTCAAAACTGACTGGAATAAAGTCCGAAAAGGACTTTCCTTTTAACTCAGGCATCTTTGGCATCCTCAAAAGAGCAAAACCTCTGGCAAGACTCGCAAAGTCCAGATCTGTTAGAGAGGATTAAAATATTAGTATGCAATAGGCAAATCTGGTGAAAGAGAAGCATATTCTTTAAGCAGCCAAGTAGTTTCAATGACTTCTACTGGGCTACTCACATGCCTAAGTACTTTCCCAGGGTTAAAACATCTTGACTGGAAAGAAAGGTGTAAATATTAAATATGTCTTTATGATAAAACATAGTAAGTACCTTGTACATGTAAATCCTCCTCTTTCTGTAAAGTATCACTTGCATTCTAACTGCTTCTCTGTCACGGTTTTTTATTTCTGTATCTATTGGAGCTGGTCAAAAACTTTCTGAACGAATTTTTATCACAAAAAGATTTGTAAAAGCTACATGAGAAAAGGTCAGTTGCGACAAATTTCCCAATCTGGAAAAAAAATTGGGAAAAGTTTTTCCCCTTAAGAGAACTGCCATGTTTGACATTTCTCTCAAATTAAAAAACTTGTTAATTTGTACTTTTACCCTTTTTTTTTTTTTAAAGTTTGCCTGTATCTGATTTTTTTAAGCGGGATTACTGGTTTGTAAAAATAAGACATGAACTCTGTCCCATTTCAAGATAGGGGAAAAAATAAATCTCACATTCTGACAGGAAGGGAAAGCTATTTCTCAACCAGTTCCACTTATCAGTCAGATATACATTTTTTAATCATCACCCTAGGCAAATAATTACTTAAAAAATATGTACCTTTTTGCTGTATCAGTCCATGCAGTTACAATATCAGATGTGTTTTGGAGAGGAAAAAAAAAAAATCAGTCAAGATGTAAAGCATCTTTGGCTGGTTTCAGTAAATCAGGTTAGATATCCTATATTGCAAGCTGATCTTTAAATCTTTTAGAAGAACTCACTGCTTAGCAAGCTGTGTGTCTGCTTGCTCTTTCAGAGCTGCAGAGGCTGAAACTCATGCATTCTCATGGGAAATTGTGACACTTACTCTCCTCTCTGGCTTTAACCAAGTCACTTAACCTCCTTGCCTTGGTCTCCCGCTTCTACGTAACAAGCACCAGCAGTTTAGGAGTCACTAGTTCATGATTAGGAAATGCTTAATAGTTTGAAGGTGTAAAATGCACTTAGTATATGACTCCACATAAGGTGACCATGTGCATGGGAACATTTGTCATCTCTAGCTTTTCGGCAGCAACCTTGTTCACCAAACCAAAAACATTTCTCCCAAAAAAGTAGAAGTGCCAGCAGGTGGTGAGAGATACCTTTTACTCGGAAGATGAGACTGCACTCATGTTTAGCGTAGGCCTGCACATAAGATACAAATGCTTTCATCCCTTTCTCAAATACTGCTCTGTCTGCCAGAGCCATAGACTTCAGTTTTGGAAGAAGATCTACCACGTTTTTTGATGGTTTCATTTCCTGCATGGGACACTGAAATAGGAACCAAAAATAGACAAAACCAACAGCTCAAATTAATGGTTCAAGTTAAACTTCAAACCCATACTTTTACCTTAAATTTTGAAGTGCTGTAAGATACTCCACTCTCTCTCCAAATTTTACACCAAGCAATGATGAAACAAACACAAGCAAAGTGAAGCGATCTGCTCAAGGTCATGCAATGAAAGAGTGACAGAATAGGGAATCAAGCACAGATGTCCTGACTCAGTTCTAACTAGTAAACTGCACTGAAACTATCTTACAGGTAGATGTAATTAATTTATTCTCAGCTTAAAATGAAAGGGGTAAGACTTTGCTGTTATAAATAGTGGACAGTACACAGAGCAGTCCTGCTCTAGCAGCCACATTAATTAGTTCAGTAGTTCTCTTGATCCTATGGCTCAAGTTTCGCTTGCTGCCCTGTAGTCTACCTTCCCCAGGGTACCCTAGCCAGACAGGCTCGAGAAACACCCATGCTAGCTCTTTATGCATTAGCTGTGGTCGGAAAGCAGTTTTACCCCATTTTTACTACTCACCTAAATTACATGGACACTTTAAGCCTTATACAATTCCATAAATCAGTAGTCAGTTTTTGATGCAGCCTTTTTCTGCTTTTATGGAGGACAGGAGAAGGAAAAAAAAAAACCTCACCTTTTGGTTTATTGAGAGAAAATTAACATAGGATTCTTCCATGGGAAGTAAAAATACAAGTGCGCTGCCTACATGGCCAATTCGAGCTGTTCGACCGCAGCGATGCACAAAGGCACTGCAAACAACACAACACAAAGATAGCTCAATAGGAGGCAAAGCTTTTAAAATAATACAATGAGGCAATGGGAAATCCAGGGCCTGCGTACCTCCAAAGTGGTCTAGTTATTCCAGCTAACAGTAGGAGTTATCTGAATACAACGCACAAAGTACATATCCTTCCCAACCACCACATTCAGATATCCCGGAACCATGTTCTACAGCACTGTAAATAAGGACCACCCTTTAGCAAAGATTAACACACCCAAATTGTGCATGCTATTTTCCCTCTAAGTACTGTTACATATATCATTTATAATAAAAACTGGCCCAATCTTCCTTTGATCAAGCAAGACAGCCACAGTGTTTTGCCTCTCCATTTGGATGGTTCTTGAAAAGCAAGTTAGCCTTCCCCTGTGTTTTACACAGTACTGAGCTCCCCGTGTGTGATTACATAGCACATCTTTCTGGTAAAATTCTCAAGATGACATGAAGTTGTACCTTGCACTGCGAGGGGGGTCATACTGTAAAACCCAATTTACTTCTGGAATGTCGATGCCCCTGGCCATCACATCGGTGCAAACTAAAATGCCACTAGAAAATTACAGAACATAAAACAGAATTTGGATTAAACAGGTATTTGAGAAGCACTAACCAACTCAGCTTCTGTCCTGGATTATACTTTATGCATAGTGATTGGAGAGAGAGTGGATGATTCAGGGCAGAGTTTCAGCCGTAAGTATTTTTAAAGCATCTGTAGCCAAATCAACTGAAAATAACATCACAACCTGGTTCCAATTTGCATAGAATAATTCTATTTAATATTAGGAAAACTAATGTAGTAGGGGTGCACCGATAGAGATTTTTTGAGCCAATACCAATGTCCAATTTTTAATGAGCCATAGCAGCCAATACTGATCTGATTCCGATATGCAGCCCTGCAGCGTGGAGAGTGGCGTCCAGGTGGTAAGTCTGTTGTGGGGGAGGGAAAGGGCATAGAGGGGGGCAGATCAAGGCCCCCACAATGAGGAAGGGAGTGCGGCGGGCACTGGGGCTGAGCTACATCTCGCGCGGGGGGGGACGACCTCCTACCACTACATGCACCCCAGGAGGGTATGGGGGAAGAGTGCCCCCAGATCTGTGTGGTGCCGGGGCCAGGGATGCACTGGGCTGTGCCAGCCTCTTCCTAGCAGGGGGGAGGGGGGCTGAGCCAGGCTGCACTCGGGGCAGGTGACAGAGCTAGGAATGGGGTTAGGGGGCAACAGTGAATTTTTTTTGGGGGGGTGCAGCCCCCCCAACCATTCTCCCCGCACTGCTGCCACCCTGAGCAAAACCTAGCCCAGCCCCCCGCCAGGAGCACAGCCCCAGCCCACAGTGGCAGCCTACCCCGCGCACAGATCCGGGGGCACCCCCTCTCCCCATGCCCTCCCAGGGTGCGTGCAGCAGCAGGACCCCCCCCCACCCCACTCCCCCCAGACAAGAACTCCTGCCCGCCTGAGTGCTGCACTGTGGCTGCGTGCACGCACAGGGTATTTCTCGGCCATGTTATCAGGCACATCAGATGGGGAAAAAAAAAAGCCAACTGCTGATACTCTCAATTTTCCTCATATTGGTGCTGATCCGATATGGGACCAATGTATCGGTGCACCTGTAACAACATAGTTGGTATTACATCTAACATACCAACAATTTATGCTGGAAAAGCATCTCTTTTCCTTTACAAGATGAAACAAAGCACCTAATTAGTCTCCCACATGCTAGTGGAGAAAGCTATTTTCACTCACACACCTCTCTTGAAAGGTATGGCCACCCAACAAAATGAAGGTGTGATTGTAGCATATGCTAGTACACCTGTGGCTAGCTTAATCTAGCTAGCATCAGTACCACTGGCAGTGAAAATGCAAGACATGCTAGCAACCAGAGTACAAACATCCCAGGATGCTAACACCCATCCCCATTGCTGCTGCTTTGGCCCACACTAGCTAAAGTAAGTTAGTGTATACTACAATCAATCCTTCATGTTGCAGCATAGACAACTGATTACTCATTTTTTCCCCCTCGTGTAGCAGCAAAGAACTAGCTAAGATGGAACTCTACATGTTTCTACAACCGTGTAGCCAGAAGATACAATTATACACTCCCCTCCTTTAGCTGGATTATTCTATTTCAATGCCCTTACCTTGGGAGTTTACGAAACTCTGTGAAAATCCTGTTCCGTTTGTGCTTCATTTTCCCATGAATGCACATTATTTTCACATTTTTAACCATGGACTCCAGAGCCTTCCCATAATATTCCACACAGGCACAGGTACTGGAGGGATGATAAAAGTGTGGAAGTGAGAGTCATCTTTCGGTTCGAGTCTAATGCTTTAATCTTAAAACTGCATGTTGATACAGCACTGGTGAAAGGTCCTACTTGCTAGGATCTATTTAACAAAATCAAAGCTACCCAAGAGCAATTTGCGTTACTGTTCTACTAGTGAATCCAATTGTTATCTCACTCCACACCTCTTAAAAGTCATCAGGTTTGATTTATCCCATCCACCAGAGATCTCTCATCACATGAATAGGTTTAATGGCTTCCAGCCCCTTGGCCAAATCCTAATGTGGCCATTCTCTCTTGCTAAATTCCTCCTTAAGGTACAGAATTTTTCATCTCTTCCTGTTCTGAAGTGCTGATGTTAATCAGCCATCTTCCACCCCAGAGGTGACTTGCAGAAATTGCTTTACCAGCCATATAATTTGCATGTCATTTGCAGATCAGAACCTGAATTCCTTGTACTCCCAAAAGTCGCTTTGAATTCATTCTGAATTCGTGAGAGATGTATGAGCTAGGTTAGCCTTGAATATCTAAAGTGCTCTTGAAGCCTTTTGAAATAAAAGTGCTATATAAGTATCCCCTTAAGTTCTAAGCATTATTTTAATGACTAATATCAAACTGTCTACAATGTCTTATTTTAGTTAAAAACCTAAACTTCAAAAGCTCACATGACCTAACCACTGCTTTTATTATGGAAAAGCATAAGACTGATCACTGCTTCACAGAAAGACTCTTGTGTGTGAGGGTGTGTGGTACTCTACACAGTTGTTAACATGAACCCACAGAGTCACCTCTTAGCTTAGAACATCAGCTCATTTCTGTGCCCCAAGTAGCACTGAGAGCACTTGGCACTAAAATAACCATCTCTGCACTGTTTCCATAAAAACGAATTACCTGAAAAAGACCAGATGTTTTTCCTGCTTGTGTTGTCGAAGAAAATGCACCAACTGATTGAATTTTTCATCTGCTCTGCATATCTACACAACATAAAACCCATAATGAATATCAAACGGAGTTCAACATCTCAAACTGCTCTGTTTTTTATTCCATTCATCTCGAAATACAGCCTTTAGGGTTCATTTAAGCTTCATTTACATAAGAGGTCTTTCAACACAGGTAACTCATATTAATACTTACTCATGCCTAGTCCACATCCATTAGAGTGGAAACATTGCTCTTTACACGTATTAGAGCTTGCTGATATCAATTCAAAAGCAGAAATATTTAAACACTGAAGTGCAGCTTTAAGTTACCCATTACTGGAGTTTTGTTTTGTTTTTTTTAAATGAACCATCAACCTAATTGTAAACCTGTCTGAAATGATTCTCCAACTGAGTACGTACAGAATACACCCAGGGTAGGGAAAAGGAGGGTTATGTGTCTCCATTCAGAACGGGGAAAAAAATAAGGCACAGAAAAATGAAGCAAGTTGACAGAGGTTACACAAAGCAGGTCAATAGCAGGGCAGAGACCAAGTCTGTAAAGCTGATTTACACTTGGTAGAGTTTAGATTGCTCCTCAGAAGTTGATCCATCAGCAAGAATCCATCTAAAAGAAGTGCACTTTTTCAGTCTACTGTATTTATTGCAACAATGCTGCTAGCTGTGTAGCTGCAACTTCAGAATGGTCTCTGTTGGACAGCCTGGCTGCCTTCAGACAGGATGCAATGCCAATCCAGAGTGCAACAGTCAGACACATTCCAGGTTTTATCACTCCACTGAAAACAAATGACAGACATGGGACACAGGGAACCTCACCATGTAGTAGTTCTCAAGCCGTGTGGGGGTTTTCTGGGTGCTGCTTGCTGCAACTCCCTTCTCCTTCACTGATATGCGGACAGGATTCCGGAGACCAGCTCTCACCAGATTCTCAACTTCTTGAGTCTGAGTTGCTGAGAACAGACCTGTCCGTCTCTGCTTAGGCAAAAAGTCCAGAATGGCATTTATGCTGTGAATAAACACATTTTAAAAATAGAGTGACTTTGGATTTCTATCAGAAGGAAGAAAACTGGATAGAGGTGCACCTTATAGACTGACCATCAGATGGAACTTTTACAACCAGAGTAAAGAGATTTTAAACAAGACCATTTTTACCAATGGCGGGGGGGTGTGCAAAAACTGGTGTTCCACTAGTGATCTGTGCTACCTTGTGGTGTGCAACACCTGGTGTTCCACTAGTGATCTGTGCTACCTTGACTAATTATAAACATGTGCATTTTAACTGAGGCTCCCAGTAAGAGTCCACAGTAGGTCCACTTGAATATGCTCAGCTTATAAATTACTCTTTCCTTGATTATTTTTATTCCCTATTATACAAGTCTTTCCTTGACTTCTGTCACTTTCTTCCCCTTGACTATTTTCACCTCCTAGTTCCGTAGATGCTATCAAAAATTTTTGCAAGCAAACCCAAAAAAGCACAAGGATTAGAAATCAGTGGGTCCTTGATTCAGTTTGACAGTTGGTTTTCAGTTTTACATTAGTGTGTGATAAATGTTAATGCCTCATTTTTTAAAGTATCAAATTATTCAGGGCGAAGCAATGGAAAAACACGCAAGGGTACATAGTGACTGATTTATTGTTAATAAAAGACAGGAGGTATCAGATAAAGACCTCATAGCTAAAGCAGTTAACAGGGACCCAGGAGTTATGAGATTAGCTTCCTGCAACAGCCCAGCCACAGAATCGTAGGTAAATCACGTAGGCCTTGGGTGGGAACTCCCATTTTTCTTCCTAGAGACAAACCTTTAATCTCTTTGTGCCTCAGCTCCTCCTCTGTAAAACAGGTATAAATCAAATCCTGAATCAAACGGATGTTGCAAGAGTAAAATGACAGTACAAGAGGCTCTCAGGTACTACTCTGATAGACGACACGAACACCTGCGTAGAAAGACTGAGCTAGGACTCCTAGCTTTTTGTCTGAGCCCCAACACTGACTCAACGTGTGACCTTGTGCCAATCGCTTAACCTTTTTTTGCTTCCGTTTCTTTATCTCTAACCCAGAAAAAATACACACCTTAAATCACACTGGTGTTTTAAGCACTTCAACAGCCTCACACAGAAGACACAAAAGGAGGGACAAATATTATTAGAATTATATTAGTGACATTACCTTGCTTCGAATCCCATGTCTAGAAGCCTGTCAGCTTCATCTAATACCAGCACATCAAGTGATTTCACACAACGTGCTAAATCCAGCCCATCTGCTTTTCTTCTGAACATATCCTCCAAACGGCCGGGGGTAGCTACAATGATGTTCCCTCTATTGGCAACAGGAAGGGCAGATTAGGTTACACGTTAACAGCATTTGGATATCATCAACTTCCTGAAATCTTATCATACCACAAGCTTGTGCTCAATAGTCCTCAGCCCGAGTTTGACCTCAGCAATTCTCACTGGACAAGGCAGCTCAGACTACTATGAACTTTGCCCCTATGCATCCTATTGACATATATATTGCTCAGAAACTATGATGATGGGTGGAAATGCATTTCCAATCCTGATCCTAAAGTTCATATAGCAAGGACATGGGCATGAGCTGAAAGGTGTTGCACACAAATAAGATGCCCATCTATATTCCATTTTGCTACAGAATTTCCACACCAATATCACCTAAGAGAGCAGTTTATGAAATATACATATAACATTTAATTAAACAACAATCCAGTGTTGCTAACAATCCTAGGAACAGAGTGGTTTCTCTGCAGTTCATTATGCTATACTATACGCTAACTCTCACTCAAGAAGTCCATGATCATGCTAATTTTTGCATTTGATCCTCTGCTACTGATTTGTTTCTGTTCTTTGAACCAGAGACTCTCTGAAAAAACAAGCGCATAACTTGATTTATGTAAGCATTCCCACTGATTTCTATGACACTCCATTCCTACTTAAGTGTTGGCAAAGTCAGAGCCTTAATCTGAAAACTCCTGGGGGCAGGAATCATGTCTTGTTTCTACTGAGAGACATCGACAGAAATGAATGATCAGCTTACCCATGTTCTTTGAACTTCTCAATATCTTCTACAGGATTCGTACCACCGATTAACAGAATCTGACTAAAATAAAAAAACAGGTTATTCACATTTTGCAAGCAGGGGCCAAAGGAAAATTTGTTTTCATTACATGCCTAAACAGACTTACCTAAACTGGGGAAAATGTTTTGTGAAATGTGAGAGCACCTCATCAATCTGCACAGCTAATTCTCTTGTGGGCGTAATGATTATGGCTCCAACCTACATGTTTTAGAAACAAACAGAGAATTTCTGCTGCATATTTGGTGACTCATCAGTTGAAAAAACAGAGGAGCAGGTGAATGAACCCCAGATTTTGTAACCCATGTTTTTTGGTCCAGGACTCGCTACCTTCACATACGACAGCTCGTTAATACAGACCTCATAACTAGCGGACCAAATAAGACGTACTGTAATATCCAAGGTTCATTCACCTGTTGCTCTACCAATGTCATATATGCCATTACTGACCTACAGTGCCCCTCTGCTGTCTGCACTGGACATGTGCATGGTCTCTATGTGGAAGAATGAATAAACACCAATTTGACATGGATACCAGAAATACACACAAGCCTATGGCAGACTATTTTAACTACCCTGGATAGTCCATTACTGACCTCAGAATAGCTGTTCTCAAACAACAAAACTTTAAAAATTAACTTGAGCCCAAAACTGTAGAACAAGATGTCACTCAAAGCACAGATTGTATGCTACATAGGTCTCAACAGAGACACTGGATTCTTATCCCATTACCTGGGTTAGCTTTTATAACCCCTATATTTCTCGATGGGTTTACTGCCCTAACGACCTATTCAGCCCACCTTAGCCTCTCCCACAATGCCGCCCTCTGCCATCTTTGGTATTTAAATTCCCTTCTATTTACAACCTTGGCTTTCTGGAAGTCCATTTGTAGCATCTGATAAATTAGGCTGCCCAAGAAGCTTATGCCTCTCTGGACTAGCTGGTCTCTAAGATGCTGCCCTGCCTTCTGCCTGAAAGAGAGCAGAGGACAAGGTGCCTAACAGCAGCAGGCTGGATTTGATGACCCACTAGAGACTGAAACGTGCACGTCCCTAAAGATTTACCAATAAAGATACTGTGACTGTGCAATTGGCATACTGTGTTTCTCACAGGCAAACACCACTTTTGTTAAAATACTAAGAATACAGGCAAGCAATCCAGTTCAGATGCTGCGAAGCCTGTTTTGTTACATTGCAGTGCAACCATATGCATTTCTGCACAGAACCAAAAAAACCCAAAATACTATAAATGTTTTTTTTTAACTAAGCACAAATTGTTGTTTCAGAGACACGATGGTTTTTAGTGACCAGTGCAAACTGGATTCGTTCAGAAATCAAAACTTTATATTATATTAAAAAGTGAAAAAGTGAACAAGCAGAGTCCTTCGCCCCACAAACTATATTTAATATTCAGATACCTTGTTCTCTAACAGCTTACAGACATATTTTGGGTTTCCAAATAAAGGAGAAATTTTTAAAGTGTTCTGAATTAATTCCTGGTTATGATGTACTAACGGCCTGATCTAACACACACTTAGGTATGCATTTTTCACACATATTGTTACTGACGTCATAAATCTTTACTTACACGGTATATATGTGAGTAAGCACGCCACAGACCAGCCGATCTTACCTGCGTTTTCTTTAACTTTTCTTCTCTTCTGAGAAGGATTTCTAGCACGGGAATCACAAACGCCAGCGTTTTGCCACTGCCCGTTACCTGTGAAAACATCAAGGAGGTAGGTTTGTTTCTTCACGCGTCCAAATACACACAAGAAAAAAAACGGAAGAGCAAACTGAGCTCGCACGACACTCACCGCTTCTGCAGCCACGTCCTTGTTGCTCATGAAGAGAGGAATGGTTGCGGACTGAAGGGAAGAGAAACGCGGTCTGAGTCCGAGACCCCGCACGCGCCGCCGGCTCTCGACCTTTCAGACTCGAGGCGGCGCCCCCGGCCAGGCCGGAGCAGCCGTCCTTTTTCAGGTGTCGCTTTATTTTAAGCGCAGAAAAATCACAGCGCGGCTTGTCTGTTGCAAAGCGCTCGCTCGGCAACACGACCGCCACCCATTTCGATTGGAAATCTCCAGGTTGATCGTGAGACTCGTGTGCGCCAACCTGACGGTGCCCCCCGAAAGCACCTCGAG